CCCCACGGCTGTTGGCTGTTGGCTGTTGGCACAACGAAGTTCAGTGGAGTCTGTTGGATGATGGCTGGGATGGCACTCTTGGGAGGAGCAATGGCAGGTGCAGAAGTGTGGCGGGGTGGGACAGCTCGGTAGATCAGTGTAGCCAGAGGAGGATCAAGTGACAGGTTACTCACCCCCACATACACATGCACACAGGACAGCAGGGATTCTGGGTCATAGACTGGAGTCCTGATTCTGCCACTGGCTCCCTAAGTGTATCATCTGCCTCTTGCAAAGCCTCAGTTTTCCCATCTGGATAATGAGGCTGCCATGCATAGGCTGTGCTATGGAAACCAAAACACAAGAAAGTGTGCTGTGTGCCTCTCTGCTTCTCCAAAACCAGGCCAGCCCAAGCAGGAATGTGGCACCCAGCACTATGACCATTGCCCAGCACTCCTCATGGGGTCTGGGGTCCGGGACAAGCTGTCAGGGGCCTTGCGGTTTGACAGAAGGCTTCTGGGTCCTGCCTGCCCCATACAGGAGCCCAGTAGAGGACCTAGGTAAGCCCTGAGCTAAAGACCAATTGCAGGACAAGCCACAGAGACAACTCCTGGCTGGGACACAGAAGAGTTAGATCTAGCTGTGCCACTGCCCTGCAGGCGATGGATGTAGCCTCTGTCTTGCCTTCTGTAAAATGGCAGCTATGAGTGATACTAACAGCAACCCAACACCAAGAGTTCAGAAGGGCCATGCACCAGTCTCCTTCTCCACTGGCTACACTTGCTCTGGTGCTGCAGCCCCTGGACGGGCCACTGCTGGTGACTGATCACTAGCACCTTCCACCTGACTCACCCCAAGGCCTGGTCTCCCTCCAAGCCCATGCTGACCCAGGCAACCTCCTGTGATGGAGGGAGGGCCGGGCTGCTTTGGTCAGCAGTATCCTTAACTGAGCCACCATTTGGCGTCCCAAGAGGGTTGGTTCCCATAGTACAGCCTATGCACGGTAGCCTCATTGTCCAGATGGGGAAACTGAGGCTCTGCAAGAGGCAGATGATACGCTTAGGGCACCAGTGGCAGAACCAGAACTCCAGCCTACAACCCAGGGTCCCTGAGCTGTCCTGTGTGCATGTGTATGTAGGGGTTGGTAATCTGTCACTTGGTGGTTGTCTGGCCACACTGATCTTCCCCAACTGCTGGCCAAGCCTTAAAAAGCCATTCTTCTAGCACACACTCATCCTCAGGAAGAGGACAGCTTTGCCCCACACTCACCCTGTTGCCCTTTGGCTCATTTCCACTGGCTGCGGGCACAGGTGACACAGGTGGCACAGGTGGCACAGGTGACACAGGTGGCACAGGTGATACAGGTGACCCCTGCACACTGTCCAGCTGGAAATCATTGAAAGCAGGACCCAGGTTTTGCTCTCACAGTTCTGCATGCACACAAGGCCCCAGGAGGCAGCCAAGAAGCTTCACGATACTCTGCCTACTGTCCCCAAAGCTTCAGTGGCTGAGTCATGCGGCAGAGAGGAGGGGTCTGCAGTGTCACTGGACATAAGCTGGGACCCAGGAGGGGACTCTGGGACAGCTCCCTAAATATGAGGTTAGGCCACCAGGGCAGTGTTGACTCTAGGAGCACCACTGGGACTGACAAATCCTGGCAGATATCCAGTGCCAAAAACATTCTCTGCTCCAGCAGGTAGGGAAATGTGGGGCTGAAGACCAGTGGACATGTTTTGTTCCCCAGGACTCCTCAAAACCTTCGCTGTGCCAGCTGGTACTGTCTGACCACAAGGAAAGGACAGCATGCTGCGCTTTCCCAGTATGTGAGACCCCAAAGCCCCTCCCCAACAGCCACAGAGTACAGGTCACTTGACATGGCCACGCCTTCCAGCCACTTCTATCCAGGAGGAAAAGGGAAAGCGGATGGTTGCCCCGAGGAGCTCATCTAATGAGGGATGCAGTGGCGCCTGCCTGTAATTCCAGCACTTGGGAGGCTGAGACAGAAAGATCACTGAGAGTTTGAGACCAGCCTACGCTATATAATGAGACTTAAGGTGTCCGCCTACAAGTAATGGGCCGGCTGTGTCTCCTCTGGGTCTCAGTATCTCTCAGGGCCAGAAGGTAATGCATAACTGCTTTTCCAGAGGTGAGATCCCATGGCCCCCATGCTGCTGAGAATTGAAATTCTAAAGAGAACTTGGCAGGAAATACTCCTCATTGCAAGCACCCACTCTTCCCAAGATCCATCTTCCTGGGGACCAGAGGAGAGGGGGTGCTCAGAAGTTTCCCTCCAACAGATCAGGTTTCCCAAAGTGGGGTTCACAGGGCCTTAGTGTCTTTTAAGAAAGTGCACAAGATGCCCTTGGCCATTTAAAAGTCACCTCCTGGCATCTACCCTGAACTCGCATGTGAACACTGCCATCGCCCTCCCGGCTTAGAACCCCAGCTTATCTGCAGCTCCTGTGGCCGAGGATCCAGGGGCACAATGAGCTACTGTGCCCCCATGTCCTCGCCTCCCCCCAGTGCCAGCTGCATTCATGGTGTTTTGCTATTGTGGTGGGAGCAGCCTGGGGGTGGGGCAGCAGGGGGTGGGCTCTTGGCACAGGGGCTGGCACAGGCGGCTGTGGTCAGCGGTCAGCATGCAAGTCACATCCGCGGGTGCTGCCACTGGTCTGCCGGGCCTCACACAGAATGGCAGAGCTCCTGGGCTCCAGGTCCCTTTGTAGAATCCTCTCCAGCCACACAGGATTTGCTGTGGTCTGACCAGCCCCTTGATGACACTGAGGTGGGGGGATTTCTTCTTGCCTTCTTAGCCAGTTGCTATTTTGGAGCCATATCAGGTCACCAGCTAAGCCCTGAATGCAGGAGAGGCCTGTCCCCAAGAAACAGCTGGGGATCTGAGCTGGGGAGGGGGGGGTGCTGCTGAGGCTCAGACAGGCTTCCGGAAGTCAGGAGCCAGCCTGCCAACCCTCCAAGGAAGCCACTGGCCTGTGAGCACAAGAGAAGCCCCTTGTGTCCCCTGAGCCCAGCCTGTAAGCAGGCACATCTCTTCTCGTTAGGAGAGATCTCCAGCCCAGACAGACTACCCTAGGGGATGGTAGGGACCAGACTGAACACATGGGCAAACTGAGGCTCTGGGAGAGACAAGGAGTTTCCTGAAATCAGACCATGACAGACTACTGCTGTAGAAAACCTTTACCTGCTCCTTCCCCACTGTGCTTTCTGATGGAGAAACTGAGGCACACGGCAACCAGTGACAGGACATAGGTCTGAGCCATAGCTAGGACCCTGAAGGCCAGAAATTTCCAAAAAGAGACCACATCCTACTAGCAAAGGGGACTCCTGATGGTCCCCAGGATTTCTTAGCAGAGACACACATGGGCAACAAGACCGCCACAGAGTGGGTGTGAAAGGAGGTCTCACAGGCTGATTAGGGACTCCACTCAACTTGCAGGTCACTGTCTCCTTCTGCGTGGGGTGCACTGATCCAGTCACCCACCTTCCCAACACCACATCACATACTGGGAAAGCACCCCCATCCAGTCACCCACATTTGCACATACTGCCTTGTTGGCCTACAAGCTGGGCCCTTCACTGGCCCTGTGGCTGCCAAGCCCCAGGGACCCACGCAGCACTCAACAAATGTTTAGTTAAAGAATAAACAACTGGGAAGACAGACGCAGGCACTGAAGACACATTCCACGAACAAGCCCCGGTCACCTGAAGCTAGTTCCCTGAAGAGGCGGCAGTCTTTTACAAGAAAGAAAGATCTCCAGCCAAGAACCATTCCTCATTCAGAGCGCGCGCTTTACAGTTTACAAAGAGCACTGGCATACAGATGCTTTTGCCTGGCACCGAAGGGAAACTTTCCAGACCCACGTCCCTCCACTATGCCAGCTTCCCCCACTACTGCTACCCACGGGGGTCGAGGAGGCTGCAGGAAGTGTGGGTCTTGGGCCAGCGTTTTATATATCCATGAATCCTCCAGTAAGTAAGGGCAGGGTTGAGCATATTGGTGAGGCCAGAAAGGGCAACCTGTGGCCTCCAGCACATAACCCCAGCCCACTGTTGCATACATAGGCCATCTCCCCTGCTCTCCAGACTGGCTCTGCTTGGGCCTCCACAAAGGAAGTCAGTGAAAGCCACAGGGTGCCTGCGATTTCCAAATGGAGCTGGCGCAGGTGGGGTACAGGAGGAGGGGGATCTAGCATAAGGCTGAGAGGAGTGACACCTGGAAGGGCTTGGAGAAGCCCCCTCTGAGGGGCTGAGAGGTCAGGGCCCTCTGGGTATTTATCTAGCTGGAAAAGAGGCACTGCCCCGTAGACTTTGTAACTGAATCCACCAACCAGGCTAACTTGGCGACAAGGGAGGCCCAAGTTTCAGAAGAAGGCCTGGGCAGCTGGAACTGCTCCCCCTATCTAGTCCCCGCGACCCCCTCCCGCCGCCCCAGAGAGCTGTAAGGATTTCCCTTTCATTTCCTTCCAGGCTGGGAGGGCAAGGGACAGCGCAGTCTGTGGGTCAAGCCCTCAAAAACCACTTCCTATGCGGCTGGGGGAGGGCAAGCAGCTGGACGGCCAATCTGGGGGTCACCGTTTGGGAATAGCAGGGGCAATCCTCTGGGCCAGCCCCAGCTCTCCAAGGCTCCTTTCAGGTCAGCAATCATGGAAGTCGGTGAAGATTTTAGGCCCTTCTGGAGGAGTTAGGAGCTGAATCTGCACTCTGGGTCCCAGTGAGCGGTGGCCAGGAGGCGGACAGCGTTGGGCTAGGGAAAGATAGTTGGAAGGGGCTCCCCACCGTGGCCGCACCCCTGCTGTCCGTAGGGAATCCGGAGACACCCCCGCCTCCCAGCCTCCTCTGAGCAGGGCTCCGGGGTTAGAGAGGGGGCGGGAGGCAGGGCCCTGTCCGGGCCTGAGTTGCGCCAGCCTGGAGGTGACCTGGTCTGGGGACGCCCGGGGGACCCCGGGTGTTGGGTCTGGCAGAACGAGCCGGGAGCGCGGGGCGAGCGCGCGCGGGGCACCCACCTCTCCGCGCTGCAGCTGTAGGAAGCTGTTGAGATAGCTGGAGTGCAGAGGCGAGCCCAGCTGCTCGGGGCGGCCCTTGCCGAAGCCCAGCTCCGGGGGCGCGGCGCCGGCGGGCGGTTCGGGCCGGAAGGCATCGAAGGCACTGGCCTGGTGCGTGTCCTGCAGCGACAGGTAGACCCAGTTGAGCAGCTGGGCCGGCTGGTACACCGAGGCGGCGCTCGTGTCGATGGCCGACAGCAGGCTCATTTTGCAGCGGCCGCGCCGGCCCCTCCCCGGCCGCCCGCTCGCGCCCCCCTCCCGGCGGAGGGGCGGGCACCGGGGAGCCTGTGCCCACTGCGAGCCGCCCGAGCCCCGACGGCGGTCGCCTCGCGCCCTGCGCCCCGCGCGCTGCCCGCAGCCGCTGCCGCCGCCGCCGCCGCCTCCCCCCTGACTGCAGCCCCGGCGCGCGCGGGCGGAGGAAGGAGGCAGCGAAAGTTGGGCAGGAAACTTTGGGCCCCGCCCCCTACACCGCCCGCCCCGCCTCTCCCCTCCTCTGCCCGCCCCTCTCCACCCCTTCTCTCCCCTCCCTTCGCTGCGATCCGCTATCTGCCTCGCTAGTGACCCCTCCGGTGGCCGCTCCCAGGGTGGGGTCGGCAGAGGAGGCCCCGCCCTCGCCCGCCCTCAATGTCCCTTCGCGCCCTCCATTGGCTACCTCGTGGAATATGCAAATAGAGGAGGCGGGGCGATGGGCAAAGAGAGGCTGGTGGATACATTGTAACTCGGCGCCGGGCCGCCCCTAGGCGGTCCCTCCAGCCCCATCCACACCGCGGGGCGGGCCGGGCGGCTCCTGGGGCACCGGGAGCTCCGCACTGCCCGGGCCCAATCAGTCTCGCCCCTGCCTCGGCTCCAGTCCATCTCGTTCCTTCCCAACTCCTTTCCAGTTGTTTTATAGAGACGCACACGCACACACCGGCTCTGTCGCCTGTGTCCCTCTTTTCGCTGTTGGTCTGCATGTTTTTGTGACTGTCCCTCTGTCTCCTCAGTCTCTTCTGTCTCCGTCTGGTCTACTGCTTGCCTCTCTCTCCTCCCTCACCGCTCTCCTACACTCCTCTCCTCCGCTATCGCCGTGGGACCCTCCCCTCGCGCTTAATTCCTTCCATCTGCAGAACCGCTCTGCGGGCCGGCTGCACCGAGGGGGGCCGGGTTCCTGCCCCAGGAAGAACTCCCTGTCCCCACACCCCCGCCCTCCTCCCTTTCTCCCTTCTCTTATTTCTGCTCTGGGCCCGCCTGGCTCCTTGCCCCTTTGGTCCTTAGCGGGTCGCCAAAAACCCAGCCAGGGCCAAGGGATGTCGGGAACCAACATCTGTCCGGAAGGAGCCCTGTTCTCACCAGACACCCCCGAAACCCCAGGGCCTTCACCGGCTCAGCCTCGCCGCCGCGGTCTTGGGGACCCAGTGGCAAGGCCCAAATCGCTGTGCCCACCAAGCGGAACTGACCTCCTGCTGAGAACCCGCTGTGCTGCGCTTCTGGCTTCTCGGGCTTCCAGCCCACCTGCAGGCAGCTCTGGAGCTTTTCAGATGCCAGCCTGGCCGTCATCCTGACTCGGGATGTTTGTGAGGTTACCAACTTGGGGATGGGAAGCAGATCCCAAAATGCTTAGCTCTCTGCCAAGCCAGCCCCTCTGGGAGGATTTCTCCCACTACCTGTCCTGGGTGATTTAGTGCATCTGTGGAGGCGTGGACCAGGGGAGCCTTCCTTCTGTAGTGACCACGCACAGCCCTTTGCTTCCAACGAAGTGTCCCTTCGGTCTCCAATCTCCATTTTGTCAAAGATTTTGAGAACCAATGTATGATTGTTAACATATGCCAATCGTATCGCGGTTTTTATTCGTTAAAGGCACACATCTATCCAATGCCCTTTGTCATTTTAAGCTGTGTCAAACCTATTTGCTTAAAAAAAAAAAGGCACCTGGTTGTTGGGAATACATGCAAAAACCCTCTCACTTTTAGAAATGCACAACTCTGCTTCCCTTTGAGCTCTCACAGGGAAGTGCAGGGTGTGGAGCCACCAGTATAGATCATCCCTAGACTTTATAGAAAGAAAACTGCTGTTCAGAGAGGTGACGTCTCCCAACTGCACAGCCAGGTAGTTGGGGAGCCAAGAACAGAGCGTCCGGCACCCAGCTGCAACCCAAGCTCTCTAACTTGGCTCCCATTCATGCTTTAGATGAAGGTTGCCCTGCCAGGTGGAAGTGCTTAATGTTTCCCTCACTATGGAAATTCTTTTATGGGTCATGCAGGTGTAAGGTGGTCAATGGTTCTGTTAGGATCCACAAGGAACAAAATACACCTGTCATGTTTTCAGTTCGAGACCAAGCCTGATATTGGCATGGACGCCTTCTCTTGTTATACCCGGTGACCACACTGATGGCCTCTGCTGCCTTTTCTCCTCTCTCCTCCATTGTTCCTAGGCAAAACCTGGTGGAGTGGTCAGGAAAGTTACACTGGGCTGAGGATTGGCTGGATCAAGGCATAGATGTGTGTGTGTTAAGGCTGAATGGCTGCTTGGGTTCTGTGCTTTTCTTTCCTACTGCCCACAGCACACCTGCTTAACACCTGTGTTCTATACCCAGAAGGTGATCAATAAATATGAGCAATTTACAGGTAATTGGCCCCAATGGCTGGCTGACTTGAGGTCAGATTCTCAGCCAGCTGCTCTAGAATCCCCTGAGACAGTATGATCCATGGGAATGGGGCACAGGACGTGAGTGACCAGATGGGTACCAGGGGCCTTGTACCAGGCCAGGAGACTGGGCCAGCCCCAAACCTATGGCTCTCATCATGTCCACATCAAGAAACCTCACATTGGAAATGCCGGAGGTCCCAGCCTAAGCCCCCACCTTACACAGGAGAAGGCAAAGGATTGCCAAGGTCACCCAGTGAGCCTGATAGTTAAACTACCAGTTCTAAGCACATCCCAGCTCTCCATGCATTGGTCTCAGTCTGGCCAGGTCCCAGGTGGTAACTCTGTCCCCTCATGTTGACTCAAAGCTGAATATAGGTGGGAACTCTCAAGTGAGGCTCTCTCTTCCTTGTCTAGGAACTTCATCCACCCCAGGATTGCCAGAATGGGACGGTGAAGAGAAGACAGGGTGAGTGACCTTGGACAGGTCTCTACCCTCTCTTAAACCTGTGGGGTTAACGACTGAGAGTGTCCATCTCATCCCTGCCCACTTCTCCAGGGACCAGTGGGTCCAATGAGCATGCAAACAGGATGCTGATTTGCTAGCTGTGAGCAGCCAGCCAGTAGGTAAGCGAGTATTGATCTGGTTTCAACAATGACCAGATCTGGTTCATCTGGAGAGGTGGGGAAAGAGGCAGAAGGGAAATGTCAGCCTCTAAAGTCTCCTGGGCACCGGTCTGATAGGTGTTTGGGGAAGTTTCAAACCCAGAGCTTTGTATTCAGAGGAGCAGGGCAAATGTGAGCCTGAAGAGGAAGTAGGGCAGGAGGAGTTCATTGAGATAAAATAAGCTTTTAATTTGGGCTCAAAAGACCAACAGAGATGAGCAGGGACAGAAGATGTGGTTTCACGATCCTATGCAAATTGACTCCGTTGATTTCTGAGACACTTTGGGTGACTGATGGTGTGAAGAGACCCAGAGGTCCCTGGAACCTGCTGCACTATCCTGCGTCAGGAACACTGCAGAGGACTCCCTAGCCGGGCTGTGCTTTGCCTCTCCTGTCCTGGGCCAGGGCCCAACCCTAGGTGCCTTTGCAGGGTGTTGACACAGAAGGTGTCAGTTTACAGCAGAAAGGGCAAAATGGCAAATCCTCTCTTGCCTATGCCACTGTCCCATCCCCCATAGGGGACAGAGGTGGTGGAATGCAGACCTTCTTCCCATACCTGACCCCAGCTTCCTCCTCGGCACAGCACTCCACAGTTGACTACGCCTGAGAACTGGTTGTCACCCCAACCTTCTTTCTGCCCCCTCCCAGAGCTCTCCCATCCTCAGGGTGACTCTGTGCAGAATTACAGAAACACTACCCCACCTGCAAGGGGCTGAATCTTGGTTGGAAGCCACCTTTGTGTACACACACACACACACACACACACATACAAGTGGTCCTGCTTTGTCCCGTGGGTGCAGGCACCCAGCTTGGGGAACACTGGCCAGATTTTATCCCTCTTGACCCCAGATGTCCTGCAGCACACAGATGGTAAAGCCATAAGGGCTGCTTGACCCCTCCGCCCCTCCCACAGGCTCTTGCTCAGCCTTTGAAAGCCAGGAAGGTGGATAGATCCCCCAACCCCACGCTCAGGCTGCTGAACCGTGGGACGTGCCTGGGCCTTTGGAGATTGTGCAACACTGGCCATCTGAGTTTCTCAGCCTGGATCATTTCCTCGGGAATCAAATCTCCTCCTGTTGCAGGGAGGACTGGGCACTCCTAGGGCCCTGGGGGGTGGAGGCCCTCTGTGCAGTTGTTTGCCAGCTGCGGAGGGTCAGGGGGACAGAGGGGAGCCTGGCATGGACATCAGGCCTGGGGTGCATGTGGTTTGGCAAACCAGCAGAGCACCCCCAGGGCCTTTGGCTCCTGATGGAGCCCTGTTCCCAGAGGAGCCACCCTTGGAAAAGTAGGGGACCAAGCTGGGCCCTTCCTCATAGGCAGTAGTCACGTTCCTCCCCTCCTTCCAATTCGAACATGAAATTGCTAAAGAAGAAAAAGGAGAGAAGGAGGAAGAGGAAAAGGAAGAGGAGGAGGAAGAGGAGGGACGATGGAGGAGGAAGAAGGACATCAAGTACATTTTACCAGTGGCCTCTCAGCTTGTGGAGGAACACCAGGGTACCAGCAGTCCCTGGTCACTCCAGAAGATACCTGGCCACGCAGGGCCATTGATCCAATGTGATCATGCCCTCCTGTGGAGGACAGCTGTGGGGAACAGTTTGGGGATCTGTCTGTGTATCAGCCTGTGGGACATTTGCAGCCTGTGGGACAGCACCCTGAAGTGGAATGGGCAGAGCTCTCTGTGTTATTTTGAGACAAGCCCTGGCCACATCAAAGAATGGAAGGGAAGCTGGCTAATAGAGATGTTGTCTCTCTGGTCACCCAGTGACCTTCCTTCTTAGAATTTTTCCATGCAGCCCATGAGATGTGGCTCAAGTGGTGTGGACATGGCATTCAAAGCCTCTCCCACACCGGACTTCTGCCATCTCGCTATACAAATTGGATGCATGCCCTGTCCCCCAACTCTCTGCCTGCATGCACAAGGCTTTCCTGCCTCCAGGCCTTTGCACGTGCCATCCTCTATCAAGAGGAGGTTCCCATGTAGTCTTCCTGCAGCCTCCACGCCCTACAAGACTCCTACAATGCCACCCCATGCTTGCTCACACCCATTAGACAGTCTCCCTTCCATCCTTGCCCCAGGGTCATCTCTGTGGTGCCAT